TTTGAAACCCTTGGGGTGCAGTTGTTGCTAAGATCGAGAAGGAGGCGAGCTGCAAAGAGGCAAATAATACCTTTTCTATGATGAATGTGAATGAAATTATATTAATAAAGAACAAAAAAATAAAATAAACACAAAGCTGTAATAGGATCGCTCACGCTCATATAAGCAGAACACGAAACACGGAGCAAGACGCACTCGGATGGGTTGCTTGAAGCTGATGTTCAGCAGCAGTTGTTCATCCACGTCCGACACGAGAGCCAAGCTGCAGTCTTTCGTCCTCAGTATTTGCTGCAGAGTTGCAACTTCTGAGCCTGGGGGAGCAGGAGGAGCAGAAGGTGCAGCAGGAGGTGCAGTAGCAGCCGCTGCCGATGGCGCAGCAGAAGGTGCAGCAGCAGCAGCTGGAGATGCGCTGTTGTCGCCTTTCTTTTCTGCTTCTGTTCCGTCTTTTGGTTGCGATTTTGTTGCCTGTGTCTCTGGAGCGGCTTCCGCTGCTGACGCTGTTGTGCCTTCTTGAGTATTTGCGGCTGCAGCTGACGAGGAGTTCTGTTCCTGCTGAGCCTTCACCACGTCAGGCTTTGCAGAGTCTGCTTGCCCAGAAGCAGCAGCAGCATGGGCTGGTGTTGGCTGCCTCACGTTNCGTCAGGCTTTGCAGAGTCTGCTTGCCCAGAAGCAGCAGCAGCATGGGCTGGTGTTGGCTGCCTCACGTTGAGGGCGACGCTGCCGGAGATATCTAAGGCATCATATACCTCCTTGAACTCTGACTGGCTCAGTCGGTCCTGCTGCTGCTGAAACCCCATGATTAATTGTGCGGGTTTTGCTACTGCTGTGGGGCTTAGAAGCGAACAGAAGACAAAGGAAGGGGTAGCCACCACGAGAGCAGACGGGGGCCTGACTGACGCACGCGAGCAGCAGCAGCCGACGTGCAATGGCTTGGAGCAGCACAGGTGCACAGCGATGCTGCAGGCCCTCCGGGAATGATGGGAGCAGTGGAAGCTAGGGTGTATTTGCAGAAGCGCCAAGAAATCTGAACTATAGATTAGGATTCAAACGAAGCCGCCGCAAAAAAAAGAAAACGTACAGACGTGCAACGACGGGGCTGCTGGCTCAGGGAGCCGAGGGACGATGACCTGACAATGAAAGGAGGCTCAAAAAAGAGAGAAGATTTGCATGCGTTAAGCAAATATAATTACAAGCGTTTTAATTATTGTTTTCGGGGCAGAGGCATTCGAATTACTTTAGAAGAAGGAGGAGGGCTGCCCACGCACGAACGCCGGCGACGATCGAACGGATGCTGAGCGGGCACCAACGGACCGGTGCATGCAGCTTAACAGCAGTGAAGTTTTTAATTAAATGAATAAAAACATCATGCTTTTATTCTTAAACCCCTTATTCCTTTTAGAAATTAACTCACACGATCTGCTCGCTGCCGCCCACCGCTCCCGACACACACAGACGGACCGCCTGTTTGGGAGCTGCTGTCCGTCCTCTGGGTGTTTCTGAAGCTTTAAAGCTGGCATACGAGAAAATCAATCAAGTTCTTTCGTCTAAATTATAGTTAACATTTTTCCTGATGACCAATTGCCCTCGCTTTCCTCCTGGCCTCAGTAGTTTCGCGAATCGGGGGCTAGTGCCCACGGCTTGAGAGGCGCCCAAAAAACACAAGTTGAACTACTCCACAATTCGCTTTCTTATCCGCTTAAATTCCATTTTTATGGTATCAAGTATGTATTATCACTTTTCAGGGAGTCGATTTCATGCTGCAACGGCCAACTTGATCGGTAGACCGATCGTTAAAGCATGGTCTGTGTGAGGTTGATTCGCTTACGGGTGCGCAGACTGGATATGGAGAGCCAAGTAAGTGCTCAACAACTGTCAACAGTGTTATTCGATGTATGAGCTCTGTTGTCCATGCATGTGGGGTTGCTATGAAGCATGAATTTCCGGCATGTGCCGTCCAAGGCATGCCGGGGCTCATCCCCTCCACCGGGCCCTTGCCCTTAGCCCGCTCGTCCCAGGCTGCCTTATGACTAGAGGGAAACTGGAACGCTTTATGAAAACAATTATCTCAAGTATTTTGACTAGGTCAGAGCTCGGGA